GAAAATGTTGCTCTGATTCTCTGCCTGTTTTGTTACTGGAAGCTCAATTTATCTTCTACCCTGTTTTTAACACCCTGCTCCTCCCTGTTGTATAGATCAATTTCACTCTGCTACCCTCCATTGCGTACACCCGCATATCTTTTCTACTTCTTCTATGTACACTCTGCCCCCCTCATTCTTTCTCTTTTGTTTATCATCTCTTCCCTCTTTCCTGACTTGCCTCAGGTCTTAGCGTACCTTGAAGCTGAACTAACACCTCGGCTCCTTTACTGGCCCTCTCGATAGAATTTACTGCGGACCTCTAATTAGAGACACAACTTATCACCATTTTACTCCTCCTTTACTTATTATATACTTAATAGGGCATTTTCTTTAGGTATTAGAGTGTATTAATGCTCATATTTTTAAAGAATCATTCAATCAAATGACTTTTTAAATAAAATATGGTTCTTACCTTCTTTTACTTTATTGACTCCACCATTCCCTTTTTCACAGGAAGGTCCAGGCAAAGGTTCTGGCAACTTCTCGGCGACACACTGCTAAGGGAATATTAAGAATGAGTTTCCATTTTGAAGATGATAGTGTGTTGCATCAAGAGTTTTTTTTAATCAATTTTTACTCTTTTGATGAATCTGGGCATCACTGTGTCACCCAGGGCTAGAATGCAGTGGCATGATTCTGGCTCACTGTGGTCTCAACCTCCTGACCTCAAGCGATCTTCCCACCTCAACTTCCTGAGTAGCTGAAACTACAGGTGCATACCATGTCAGGCTAATATTTTTATGTTATTCGTGTAGTCAGGGCCTCACTATATAGCTGGCCTCACCAGCTCAGGCTGGTCTCAAACTCCTAGGCTCAAGCAATCCTTCTACTTCTGCCTCCCAAGGTGTTGAGATAACCAGTGGGTACCACCACATCCCACCCTAATCAATTTATTTAAATAAACCTCAACTTAGGCCAGGCATGGTGACTTACACCTGTAACCCCAGCTCTTTGCAAGGTCAAGATTATTTGAGCTCAGGAGTTCAAGGCCATCCTGGGCAACAGAAAGAGAACGCAACTCTACAGAAAAATACAAAAATGAGTCAGGCATGAAGTTGTGTGCCTGTAGTCCCAGCTTCTTGGGAGGCTGATGTGAAAGAATCACATGAGCCTGAGAGGTGGAGAGTGTACTGAGCCAAGATCAGGCCACTACACTCCAGCCTGGGCAACAGAGCAAGACCCTGTCTCCCCACAAAATCCAATTTACTATTTGAATGCCTATTTGACTTAAAAATAAGAGAAGTGCACATTGTAAACCAAAGCATTTTAGTAGAGGACCTCATCTACACTTTCTAGATCAGGCTCATCTGTTATCTTTACACGGTCATTGACTCTGCTATCCAAGTATGGCAGCCCGAAGAAACATGTTCACAGACAAAATAGTAACATGTACATATTTCAACGAGGAACTAGCTTTAAAGTACCTAATTCTGCTTTGCAGTTTCCAAAAATAAAACAGAGCATTTTGAAAGTACATTCACATATTGCTCTAATACTTGCTGTATTAAAAATTTAAAATATTCCTCATGTAAATATTTTAGCCTCAAAATAAGATACTTATGATAGAAAACATCAAACTACATTATGTTGAGGATCAGTAGATCATTGTAGAAGCTGCTTCATTTAGGTTAACAGGGCCTTGGAGAAACCTACATAGTTTTGATAACATTTTTACTGAGAGAATAAATGGTTGAATAGAATGATAATGTAGTAACAGAATTTTATGTTATGTTTAAATACAAGCAAGCAAATAGGGGATAAACCCTGTAACTATTTTGTTGTTGTCCATTTGTTTTGAGACAGTCTCACTCTGTAACCCAGGCTGGAGTGTAATGGTGCTATCTCGGCTCCCTCCAACCTCCACCTCCCAGGTTCAAGCAATTCTTTTGCCTCAGCCTTTGGAGTAGTTGTGATTACAGGCATGTGATACCACACCTGGCTAATTTTTGTATTTTCAGTAGAAATGAGGGTTCACCATTTTGACCAGGCTGGTCTCGAACTTCTGACCTAAGATGATCCGCCCTCCTCAGCCTTCCAAAGTGCTGGGATTACAGGCATAAGCCACTGTGCCTGGCCAAGGGGACATTTTAAAGAAACTACGATGACAAAATTATGGTGTTAAAACATTATCATATCGGTATTAAGAGTCTTTGCTTCTACAACTAGTCCTTTGCAGCAAAATACATATTATTCTATTAGATGAAGTGTTTTATATAAACTCTTTGCAGACAATTTATAAAAGATACAAAAATTTCTTTGTAATACAAATTTTGAGAACATAAATTTAACTTTCTACATTTCCACAATTTATGTTTTTAAATCAGATACAGTCTTGTTATGTGTCCCAGGATGTTCTCAAATTCCTGGGCTGCAGTTCTGTTGCCTGAAACTCAAGTAGCTGGAACTGCAGGTGTACACCACCACAGTCCGCTACATTTCTAAAATGTTCACCATTACATTAGTCTCACTACAGAACTAATAATTTGAGTAAAGGAACAAATCTTTCCTAAAAACTATATCCCAGAATAATAAGTGTCCAAGAAAAAAAGCTATATGCTATGGGCTGAACTTTTTTGAATTAAAAAATACCAGAGAGATTCCATGACTATTACAAGTGAGTTGATCCACTGAAGCCTTATACAGGCATAAATATTACGAAAGTCACAGTACCATGATTTAAAACTCAAAATATTAATATTTACCCAAATAATCCTTAATGAAATTTTATATTTATATTTTTTCAATTGGGGAAAGCGTTTCTTACTGTGATTTTCTTGTCACGATGTCTTTCCCCGTTTATTTTTTTAACTCCCACCTGGCCAAAGTATTTCTCAATCTTTTGTTACTTATCAAAGTTAATTTTTTAATCAAATAGACATATATCTATGTTTTTCTCTGACCAACTTCCCATTACCAACATCAAATAATGATAGGTAACCATTTCTAAATTTTAATGGTATATACCATGCAAAACTAGATTCAAACTGAGAAAATTAATTTTACAAGAGACGACTTTACCTTGGTAGCAGCAGTCAAGACTTTATCTTCTGGTTTACTGCATGAATCAACAAAGAGGTCATGGAAAACGCTTAAGAGCAAAAATACACAATGAAAATGAGCAAGTTGATTTACTTTAAAATTTTTTTAACTGCCATTTCCTATCCAGCTTCCACTGCCAAAAAAACAAAAACACAATATGGGGAAAGGTAGCTATGTGTATATTAAATAATGTTTCTTGATATAATTAAAATATGGCCTCTGGTATAAACATAGATTTTCATTCCCTATTTCTGCTTCCACCTGTCTAAATCTATAAACTATTCAATGAAAACTGACTTTTAGCTCCATAACAAACAGTGACAGCCAATATATTGGCAGATCCTGACAATCATTTGCCCTCACAAATTATCTGTCCAAAAGTTGAACTTAAAATTCAGTTAATGAATGACATAACCGTGTCACCTAAACTGAAAGACACGTGATGACCTAAAACAAAGTAGAAAGATCTGCTGTCTCTTGTCCATGAGCTATGTCTGGTTAAAAGACTAATTTGTGTCACTTCAAAATGGCAGTCTTGATTCCTCAGCATGAAAACCACTTAAGAAAGTCCTATTGCTTTCCTTTCCCCTAAAACAGTACAGGGAATCCCCTGCAATATTTGAAATGTGTGAAAGCTAAATGTACAAAAGTCAAATAACAAAGGTGTAGGTTCTGATTGAGAATATTCATAAATGTCATAAATCCCAATATTCTGATATTTATTGAAGAATCCACACTCCTATCCAATCCAGTGTTGTCTCTCTTCAAACTTTGCCTTCCCCTGCTCATTCCAGTCTTTTCCACTTCCATTGGGGTCACTAGCTAATTTCATTCTCATTCTATCCACTGGGTGCAACAGACTCCATCCCCCTTTGCATTATTAAAACACAAGCAAGTAGGCTAAAAAAAAAGAAAAAGAAAAGGAAAGGAATGAAAGGTACTGGGCTTTAAAATGAGTTCAACTCTCATTTCCTGTGTCAATGAGAATTCCTATGTCTAAAAAAAGAAGTATCCAAATCTCTTTGAGTCTCAGGCTCTCCATCTAGGGTATCAAATGGCTGGAATGTTCAGCACAGGTAAAATACTAGAGGGTATTTTAATTACTTCTAAGATCCTTAAGATTCTGTAATTCTATGTGTTTTGTTTTCTATCTATAGGAAAATTGAGAATGCAGAGCCAGAAGAATTTCATAAAATAATGGAACAATATAAACACCAAGAAGAGCAAAGAAGAAAGTTTTAAAAAATCAAGACAAGATTATAGAAATGTCCTGGGACCGGCCAGGCGCGGTGGCTCAAGCCTGTAATCCCAGCACTTTGGGAGGCCGAGGCAGGTGGATCATGAGGTCAAGAGATCGAGACCATCCTGGTCAACATGGTGAAACCCCGTCTCTACAAAAAAAATACAAAAAATTAGCTGAGCATGGTGGCACGTGCCTGTAATCCCAGCTACTCAGGAGGCTGAGGCAGGAGAATTGCCTGGGTTCAGGCAATT